ATTTTCCAACTTTGTTGAGTTTTCCAAATCCTCAAAGCCTCAGTTATATACAACTAACTCAGAAGAAATGAAAAATTTGACTCAACCTTTTTTGAATTATTTGCTTGTTCTGCACTTGACCAACTTATCTACAACTGACACAATAATAGGCAACAAGAATTAATTTAATTGCCCGAATCATCAAAGCAAAAGAACGTCCAGATGAATATGAAAATATGTCATTGGATTATCAGTAATCAATTTAATGCATCTCCTGACGAATTATTCGGTTTTGCTCCGCATAAATCTGTTTCGTGCAATTGGCAACTTGCAGAGTTGTGTTGTTGTTTATCTAGACATTCTCCAGGAATATGTGGAGAGGAGGAAAGTCTAGAAAATTTTTCTTAGCTGATGACGGTGTGGTGCATGTGTCGCCGGAGGTAGCCTGGCAAACCTGTCTCTGTAGACCTGAGAACTTCGTCTTACCCATTTGCTGTTGAGTTTTTTGGCCACCAGGCATTGGTTTGTAACTGATCATGAATTTGATAATTTCCACTTATATCCAATCAATCGTACCTTTTTTGAGACCTTTCAAAATAGAAACAAAAATGATTTCACACCACAAAGTCAGCGGTATAACCAATAATGATGACTTTTTTTTGCAGTGGTACTTTAAACGTCACCAGCCTGGTATGGTACGGAATTCCCAACTGGAGTCTGGAAATTGAACAATTCAGTGAAGACTCGAATGCAATTTTCAATTACACACTCGTGGTGGCCAAAATTCACTTTTATTTCAGAGTATACTCTTGATACAAATGTGGCGTTAATGCCTAGAAGATCTTCAGGATTTCTGAAATAAGTTAGAAGCCCACAAGAAGCTTCGAGTCTGGTTGAGATACGTAGACGACACCTTCATAATATGGAACCATGGGAATGCAGAACTAGACATTTTCCTGAAGCACATCAACAACGTAAGTTCTTCTTTTACTTTCACAATGGAGAAGGAAGTCCACAACGAATTGCCTTTCTTAGACGTAATGGTGAAGAGGACCGTCACTTCCGGCTTCTTTTCCACAAGGAAGAGAAGCCGCCACAACCAGTACTTGTACTTCCCTACATCAGAGGATTATCGGAAAGGATAAGAAGGATTGGGTCCAAGTATAACATCAGGACCTGCTTCAGATCTGGAAACACTATCCGTAGCAGCCTCACAAAAACTAGGCCACTGAACGCGGACTGCGATTCCAAGAATTGCATTTACCGGATACCCTGCGAGTGCGGAGAATCATACATCGGTATAACTAAGAGGCCATTGAAACTTCGCATTGCTGAGTACAAGAAACACACACAACGAGGAGAAACCAGCAAATCCGGAAGAGCAGAGCATGTTTGGACTCATCAAAATAATATCAAATGGGCTCAAGCGGAAATCATCCACAAAGAGGAACACTGGTTCAGGAGAAAATCCAATGAAGACGCGTATATGTTGTCCAACAACGCATTGAGTCAAACTAGCGTAGATATACGTAACATATGGAAACCTCTTATCAAACGAAAAACGACCAACTCCCGCCAAACGGTCATCTCCCGCTAAAACCAATGAAGCGGAAAGAGGAAAGAGGGGATAGGTGAAAGGTGAAAGCACCCGAATGACCTATAAATTAATGAGTCCAGTTATCACCCGAAGACTTTTGTGGATACTGTTATTTCGTATCAAACTTTCGTGACAAGAAAATATCCACTTTTCGTCAGGACAATTATTTTATTGACAATGTCAAATTCACATTCAAACTCTTTCTTTTCAATAACACCATAACAACAATAATTCAACGGTAATAAGATCAAGAAAATAAATAAATAACTCAAAACTAATCAAATAATCAACATTCCCCCCCTAGAAGAATCAACTCAGTCTTCTAATTCCAATTTGCAGATCTTAGTTACTGGCCGTCGAAATTCTGAATACGCTGTCTTGACGTCTACCACCCTAACTCGTCCATCTGTACTTGGATGCACACCTATGAGTTTTCCTAATTTCCATTTATATCGTGGAGCTTGGTCGTCGACCACAACTACTATATCACCCTCTACAATGTGTTTGCTGTCGTTGGACCACTTACTCCTTTTCGTCAAACGTGGAAGATATTCTTTCACCCATCTGTCCCAAAATGTGTTGACCAACATTCGAGATTTTTTCCATTCGCGCCTCAATCCATTAGCATCAGGGTATATTGGAAGTAATGTAGGCTCGTGCATCGTTTTGTGATATCCCAACAAAAATGCATAGGAGTAAGAGCTTCTAAAT